TGTGAAAATTAATTTAAAAAAAAATCATTGCAGTCAAAGCAAATGTGTGCTTTTTTATCATATTATCCTTTGTTCTTCCTGCTGAGGTCCTTATTAGTTTTTGCTACTTGTTCTTGGGTGTTTTACTAATCATGATGTAATGTTTTCCAGTATTGGGTACTTGTAAAGGCTACACTTTGGCACAGCAGTACTGAGGAACAGCTTGTATATACACTAATGCCCAGTATAGTTAATTATTGTTGAGTATGAAATGAAGAATTGACACTTTGTAAGTATGGTGGATAGTTTCTGTTCTCATTCGCTGAAATATGGAGCTGGAGCAGCCCAGATAAAATCTGGACCAGCTGAGGTACTTCAGATTTAGAAAGGCAGCTGGACTCTGAACATACATGTCTCCTGATTAGTTGCAGAAATTTTATGTTTCAACACCTAATCCATTCCTCTCCTACAGAAAATGAGAGAAATTATATAGAAATGTTTTGGATCTGATGCTTTCCTATCAGACTAGACAAAAATTTATTGCATCTTAAAAAAGCTCTAGAAATAAAATATTGCACACAGAGGGACCTTCATCCTCTTTCTGTGAATTGCCGAGACCGTCATATCTTCTTGCCTGTCCTTGAAACGAAGTCTGCACCTCTTTTTCTGATTCAGACTTCATTAGAAGGCTCCTTAGTCTTGAAGCAAATATACAATATTCTCCTTTGTAATAATAGTTATTTCCAGGGAATGTAATTCAAAGAGTTTTTCCCAACTCACAGATAATTAATTTTAGTGATGCTTGACAGCAATTCCATTTTTCCTGTATGAACAGTCTTACTGTAAATTGAGACTAGAGAATTGCATTAGTCATTTGAAAGATGTTTCTAGAATGTCTTTAGGCTCTTCTGGGTAGTGACAGTCTTACACAGAAATAAAATGGCCTTGCTTTGCTGTAGATTTATTAGTACCCATATTTTCTGCAGCTTCTCTCCTTTCAGAATTCTTTGTTTTTCATAGTCTTCTGTGTTAGAGAAATTGTACTTGTTTTGTGGGCTCTCAATGTGCTATTGATAAAGTCAACTCAGAGAAGAAAATCCTCAGAGAAAGATTAAGTGCTGTTTGCCCATTTATTACAATGAGTAAACTGAGTCAGAGAGACTCTAATTTTCCTGAAGCCGCATAGCAACTTAGTGTTGTAATTAAGTCTGATTCAGCAGCACATACTAATCGGTTTCCATGGTGCCTGAGGCCCAAGAAGCCAATAATTCAGCCATGTTCAGCACAGAAGTGAGAGCTGAGTCTAAGTCATGAGAAATTTCATGTGCCAGTGAGAGAGACTGAAAATGCCTTGCTCTCATTTTAACATTTATCTGTATTAAATTTTTACAAGAACATTCAAAATAATCGGAGTAATTACAGTAGAAGTGATGGGACTGTTTTACATGGTGTTCAACTGTGACAAAAACCTTCAGAAAAATAGACGCTGTGGTTTCTGCTTTGCTTCTTGCTATACTTAGCTGCAAAGGGTTTAATATTTTAGTGATACAGGGATGAAGAGTTCATAGGAAACAGAAGTAACTGATGTTAGTGAAGTATCTATAAAGTAGTCAATTCTTCAGGGACACAGGAAAAGTATCTGTGATCTTAGAAATATAAAAAATGGCATCTTCCAGCTTCACTAGGATAACGTGGTAAACACACAGGATTCACAACACAGATGGACAAAACACAGGCAATGTTGCAGAAGGGTGGCAGTGGATTAGTGTTAATGCTGCATGGCTCGCATCCGTGAAGTGCTGCGGGCCACATGGTGCCAAAATAAAACCTGCGTGAGCTTCCCTCGGCGCTTTCCCAATTCTTCCCTGAGACATTTGGGGGCTCGGGATTTCAAATGGAGAAGGACAGTCTGTTTGGCAAATGCAGCATGGATGAAGCAGAAACCCTTTCTGCCAGGTCTTGGGTGAGGTCTTCACATGCTGCCTGCACTGCTGTGTTGGGGGAATGAACTCACAGCAAGGCAGGGGGTTGGCCAGGTCTTTCTGTTGTTCTTTGGAAATGTTTCTCTTCTGATTCAACCAAGGAAAAGGATGTCCCTGTTTCCTTGTATGTGCACAAATTTTAAAATGCAAAGCTGCTTCTCCTCTCTCAGGGGAATGCTGGGGACAGAGCTTCAAGAAATACAGCTTTGTCTCCCATTTCTGTAACACAGGTCCTCTCTGGTGTTGGATGAAAGTACAATTACTGTGTGTCTCAGTTCTTGTCACAGTACGATGGCAGTATGTCCTACCTGAAAAAATACTGAAGATTTCAGTAGTATTTGGAGGACTGAACTGTATGACATGTGAATGGGAGAGCCTAGCACCATGAGTGGACAGACCAGATCAAATGAACTCTGTAGAAAAGTTCACACTTATAAGCTGGTTTTGGTTTTTTAATGCCTTGGTTAGGCTTAATTGAGGCTGCACCAATTTCAAGATAAGCACTCCAGAGACAAATTAAGATTGCTACCATTGTTTATACAGTACTTAAAGCATGAATGGAGCTTGAGCTGTCACAGAACCAGCACAGTCCTTGTCCTGCTGGCTTGTCACCTCCAGGCTGGGCACATTGCTGGAAATGGGCACACCAGTCAAGAGCTGAGCATGAACTTCTGATCAATGTAGGATGTAAGAGAGAGAGGTGGGCAATGATGAACAAGGGTTAGAAAGATGTGACCAGCCTATTTGTTCTTTGCTCGAGAGCAAAATTCCCAAACAGATATGCAGTCATAGACAAACTGATCAAACCCATCCTGGTGTGGTTTTCCTGAGAGATCTGTTCCCTTATAATACACAAAACCATGTAGTCTTGGTTCAGGGAGCAGGTAGGATCTTTTGAAAAAAAGGTAGGGAACGTTTTGCTTGTTGAGAGCCAAATAAGCCTTTCAAACAACTTTGACCTAAGAACATGAGAAATGCCATAATGGGTCTGTAGTGCATTTACCACAGCATTCTGTCTCTCATGGGGGCAGCAGCAAATCTTTACTGCTTGAGGAGAGTACACAAGCCTGGCCACCACTCCTCCCCAGTTCTCCCAGCGCCCACCATCATCCAACTAGGGATGTTGATGTCTGCCTATTGCCTTTCATATCTGGTTTGGATCTATTGTACGTGAATTTGTCTAATGGCTTTTATACTATCTGACTTCACAACCTCCTGTGGCAAAAACATCCCAGAAGCTCATACTTTGGAAGGAGTATTTTCTTTTATCTGTATTAAGTTCATCTAACATCAGTAAGTGTCCCTCTACTGCTGAGGGATTTAGTATGTGACAAATTCTGCATTCACCACCTCCATGATTTTGTACACATCGATCGTATCACCCCCATCAGTTTTCTTTTCTCCAGACTAAAGAGTCCTAGTCTTTATAGTATCTTCTTCTAAAGTGGTTGCTCCATCTCCTTGAACATTTTGGTAGTCCTTTTCTATGCCTTTTCTAACCCCACTGTATTCATCCTGAGGCAAGCAAATCATTGTCAGGTATCTGCCAAGTCCAGTGTTAGGTTTCTCAAAACCCATTCTTAATTCTAATAGTGTACCTTAAGTGAGAACAACAGTCTGAAAGCTAGGTGGAAAAACAACTAACAGTGGATGCTCTCATGTGCAGTATATGGCTGAAGCATCAAGATGCTTCATTTTGACAACACAGCCATCATAAAAAAAATGAGACTATAGAAGCTATTTGAGTGTCCCCTTCTCCAGTGTGTGTATATATATATACCACATCAGGTATGTAAAGTCTGAAAAGGGTCGGAAGCTGTTGCAAATTTGGTGGAGAAAGGAATGACTTCCGATGAATGTTGTCAGCAAGGAAAGTCAGCAGTGGTAGGGTAGTGTTCAATACTAATACACAAAAGTTACAGTTGTTATGAACTGATGTCACAGGCTGGCATCTGCCCTCTTTGTTTAGAGACTTACAAATAGATATACCATTGTTATTCCTCTGAAGTACAATGTAAATAATGTTTTTTAAACCAAGGCAAAAAAAACCAGCAACCTTGACTGAATTAATATATCTCCTGAGATATTTTTCTCATCTTAATTGCAGTCATGTATCAGCTTTCCAGTAGATGAGCTGGCAGAGGGCCGCTACTAACGGGATCTTCGGTAGGAAGAGTAGAGAGATCTCTTGAACTTCTTGTGATTGCACAGATCCCTTGAGTATTGAGGCTTTCAGGTGTCTTTATTCCACCCTACTGTGTGAGTAACTGAAAAGCAAGACCAAACTCTTTGATGTGTTTGCCAATTTTACAAATAGCTTGTTCTAATCAGCAGAATATAATGATCCAAGAAATATGTCTATGTCTTGAAGAGCCAATAAAGAGTCAGTTGGTAACAGTGTAGGTTGTTCAAGCTACTGAAGTTCAGTTGGAACTGATGTATATTTTAGGGCAATCTTTAAGAAGGGAACTGATTCAACGATGATATCTCAAACAGAATTCAGTGTGTTCTGTGGAGAAATTCAAACTCAGCTCCCATGATAAAAATTAATTTTCCCCTTTAGGTTTTGACAATGTGTAGTAATGAGTACGGTGTACTGTTGCAGTATTTAACTGAGCACTTGGTAAATGCGGTTGAATGAGTGCTGACTCTATGTGATCTTGTGCTGACTGTGTGTGGCCTTCTGCTTACCTTTGGTCATGATTAATTCTTTTCATTGTAACTAACATTAGAGATTAAAGTGTGTTAGGGTAATGATGAAGTCAGCTGTTTCCTTAAAACAGTCAAATGAAAGAGTTAACTAAAATCTGGAAACTGAAATGATACCAAGATACCCACCAGTCCCAGATGCTCTACCCAAATTCTCGCTCGAGTGATGAATATATCTGTCCATCAATAAAGAACATTAAGTGATGTGATGGGTCTGAAGACCACAGACCTCCTGTAAATGGTGCCACGCGTAGGGTGAGGGAGTAAGAGACATTGATTCAGATGACATGAGTGTTACTAACCTTGTTTCTTTTGAATTTCTCCAAATAGGGTCGAGACTGCAGTGTGCCCATTAATTCTTGCATTCAAAATCCATGTCAGAATGGAGGGACCTGCCACCTCACCGAGGCAAACAAAGATGGATTCAGGTAGTAACACAAAGTTCATTTAAAATGAGATTATAAAATTAAATGTGTTTCTACTTTGCAATAATGAACTATGATGGCTACTTTATAAAAGCTGCTGCATGTGACATTTCTATTTGCCATACAAAAAAATTAATCTGGTTTCATTGATGACATATTGTTTCCTCTGAAACAGGCCTCCTTATTTTCTCATAATGGAATATACTCTTAAGAGCTATTTTGAGCGGTCTCCTTGATCTGCATTGTGTTATCTGTATGCTAATTTTCCTTGGGGCATTTCAAACTCACATATACCCTTTTTTGTATTTGTAAAGTAAGCATCTGTTGCTTGACAACCAGATGCAAAATGTTTTCATACTGAAGAATCTTGTAGACAAACAGGCTTTAAAGAAACAATTAAAAAACATGGAGAGATTGCCACATCTTGGGCATTGTGCCTGCAAGAGAATAACCTTTACAGCTGGACGTTATGGATTTCAGTTTTCCCATATAAGAAAGATGTAGCATAGGTCGGGATACTCCAAGAGAAGTCCAGAAATTTTCATGAGGTAACTGGGAGATTTGTGCTGCTACAGGCACTACTTTACAGCTAAGAAAATACAAGTTTGAGCCTTTGGCCACTAGTTGTCATTAAAGTTGATAGAAATTTTTTTTTTTAAAAGAGTTGCTGAAATTTTCATAGATTTGGTCCTCAGTATTTATGCTATTTCTTGCACAAAATATGTACAAAAGTACACCATACTGTTGCTTCAATTGCATATATGAAAGCTTCACTTCTAGAAGCTTTTATACATTACTGAGGCTGCTGCTTTGCCTTCCCCTATATATAGCTTCCTATCAGGGACAGCTGGAGGGAGACACAGAATTGCAAGGTTTATAAATGGTGTAAGCAGGGAGTCAAACCAGTACATTTTTTCAGTTTGATTCCAGTTTGGTTTCATCTGTGATTAAGACTGTTCCAACTGAGGTTAACTGTTTGTTAACCAAGTCGGCAAACTCATATCATCTTATGTCAGAAAATAGGATTTTTTCAAAATAGAAAGGGCCAGGTGAAAGTTTGGGTGACTGACAGGACTTTAGGTGCAATGGGGGATTAGCACCCCCCTCCTGTTCCCCTACCAATGGTAGGATGCCTTTTATCTTTCCAGCAAAGCGTTGTGGCTTCTTTTTGACTCCCCAGATCCCTCCTCTGGGAATGAGGCACAGAAGAGCTTCCATTTTGCCATGTGGGTGAGATGAGTGGGGAAGCAGAAAACAGAAGAAATGCCCCAAAGCTTCTCTCTGTCTCTGTGCTTGCCCACCCTCAAGAATTACCCCCTTACAGAAACAGATCCAGCACATGCTGGACACAGAAGGACCCTGATGATATTACAGTGGAAAAGGGCAGGTTGATGGGGATGAAGGGACGCTGTCAGGCTCTGTTACAAATAACAACCTGAGGCTTTCCAACATGGGAGAACAGGAGTAAAACGCATGGCCACGTCTCCATGAGGGGCAGTTTAGAGCTCAGCTTGAGCACTTGTGACAAGGCCCTGAGCAGAGCAGAAGAGCACATCTCCTGGGTACAGATGCGTCTGTAGGGTCATACTGGTGCATGGTGGGCAGAGAAGATGAGGAGGCTCTGCAGATCATAGCACATGCAAAGGGTCATGCTGCTTGACAGGACCCCCTAGAGTCTGGTGAAACCACTACTCTGCACTTGCGATCTGATATACCTCTTCTTGATTCAAATTTTAGCAGGCCCAGCAATTTTTGGAGTAAAAGTTCAGGTTCAGTTTCTGCTTGAGAGAAATAAAGGTCTGGTGGTCTTCAGTTCGGGTTCCCTTCTGGTCACCCTCATGTAATACTGTTTAGATAGCTTTTTCCAGCTTGTGCCAAAGCAAAATTGTACCATATTAGAATATCTGTTTTGTGTCACTTAGTACTCATTTTTCAAAATCTAGCTGATATTAAAAATGTGCTAGTAAAACATTTTATAATATCCATAATACTGGAATGAAAGGCTTCGGCTTATATTTTGGATTGGGTTTTTCTTTAGCATTTTAGTTTTGTCCTATGGTAGAAAGTAAGAAGTTTTGAATGACCTGAAATGAAAGCTGCTTCTGAATTTTTCTCGTGAAGAATTTTACGATTTCAGAGGCTTTGCTTCAGTTCCAAATAAACATAGTTTTTGAGATCATTTACAAAACTGCAGGGATGGTTTTGTTGCTTAACAACATTTGAGGCTTTTTAGGGAAGATATCTGCTTTTATAGTTATTTATATAGTTTCAGTTGGTCTAATAAAAGACACATAAAACCATATCTCATCAAAATCTTGCTTCATAAAATTGAATGTTCAGCTTATGCATTGCTCTATTTTCTCTCCATGTTTTTAATTCAGTCAGTCCACAGCCCCAGCTGCTCTGGGCAGAACAGGAGCGTGGGGCTAGCATGTCTTAGAGAAATGTGGTGTGGGATGGAACAGTCAGTGAAGGGGAAAGTAAAGAAACATTTTGAGATTGAATTTGGTTGGTTTGGTGTTTTTTTGGTGGGAAATCTCCTCTCCAGTGGATGGCAGCAGTCAGTGTTACATGCATATAAATTGTGTTCATCAAGATGGGAAAACGTTGCCTTAGATTATATGCTGTGAGGAAGTGGATGTCAAAAACATTTTCATGAGAGGCCTCCTTGGATTTTTCTGTTGTGTGGCCTGTAAAAGAAATTATATCTTCTGTATATTCTCTTCCCTAGGGAAATATATTCATACACAAGCTCTGCTGCCAAACTTGTCAAATCTTTACTCTTGTAAAAAGGAAACTTAAGCCAAAGCTCTCTCCCTGTGAAATGCCAAGCAGTTTAACTCTCAAGTTTCTGTAGCCTTAGACAAGAAAATTACCTTTTAAATAATGCTAAGGTGGTGATGTTCCCCAGGCAAAGACAGGAAATTCATAGTTATGACTGAGATTCCAGCCTGACTCGCCCGCTGTGCCTTGTACCCACAAGGGCTCGCAGCAGCAGGCGATTGAGCCGCTCAGATTTGTTGTAATAGCAGGTTCTCGTGGGGCAGCCGAAGGGCAAAGGTTCAGCTGGAGTTCTTCAGTCCTTCTTGGCATCTTTTATTCTTGCGCTTTTTCAATTCTGAGTAATTTTCACATTCTCTTTTTTCAGGTAGGGACCTCTTCTGTGTTAAAGAGTAGTTAAGTGACATTGTGTGGCTCAGGGGATTAGAAACATGAAGTTCTTCCTCCCTTTGAATTGCTTATTATAATCTAATCTAATCTACTCTATGCCATCTTTGACAAAAGGTTGCCAAAAAAGGTGCTTATTGAGACTGATAATATAAGATGGTCAATCAGACATGTCCTGGTCATTTAGCATGCCTGCAAGTGAGACTGACAAAGGAGGTAGAGCTGTCAACTGTGCTTCAGTTAGTCACAGGCAACCAGCTGATCTTTGATAACCTACGCTGTTGGGAAACAAAGTCTCTGGATCATTTTAACTTTTCCCCATATAAACACACACACACACCCATTTTCCAGATCGTTTTCTTTAGCATTTTCCACAAACTTTAAGTTCCCTCATAAATGTAAAATCCTGGAACTGATTAACTCACTGGTGTTAATTCTGCCTGGTTCAAGGAAAAACATTGCATTTCCAGACTTACAGGCTACTCTATTGGGATGTAGATGTAAAAAGCTCCTTTACCAAGAAACTGTAATATTCCTGAAAGAATTTACTATTGCTATTTAAAAGTTGATTTTTTAAAATGTGATACGCTGTATGTATGCCTATTTTAATAAACAGATGCTAAACTGTTTCATTAGAGTTTATGAAAAAAATAATTTTGAATATAGTAAGCTTACACAATTGTCAGTATAATTCAGCTCCAAAAGTTTAAGTCATTAAGTTATGTCTTCCCTTGCGCCTTCATGAGGATAATGGGGTTTTATTTAGTTCTTTATTTTTAGGAAAACACAACGCTAACAGAAAATCCCTAAACTGGAGGAATAGGGAATTTGGACCTTTATGCGATCACAGCATCTTAGAAAATAGCTCTTTCCTGCATGGCTCCATTGTTTCTGAGGTCCAGATGAAATGCCGTCTCACACTGCTTCACTATTTAGTCAGTACAAAGTTTTCATCGTTGTCTCTGGAATTAATTTTCTCTCTCGGTCAGCTTGAACCCAAGTTTGATGACCTTCCAGTCACTCTGCAAGCTTCATTTTTCTTCTAAGCTTTTTCTGGGAAAATACATACAAACAGTCCCAAACTGCAACTCTTTCAACATATGGTTCAATCCGGGTCCCAAATTGTATGTTTTATCTTTTAATTTCAGTCCTCATATTTGGCACATTTGAATGCAAATCAAAATAAAGAATCATACGTAAGCAATAATGTAAAGACTCCCTATAAAACATAGGGACCAGTAGCCAAATGTCATCAATTACGCTGACATTTCCTTCAGTATGGAATGTGTCCTAATACTGAGCAATTGTATGTTAACAGTCCCATATGTATTGTTACTAATGGTAACTTTACTGATTTGAACCATTACTGTGATAGTATTGAATAATGTCATTTTTAATTGCATACATCCAAGCTGTCCCAATCCTTTTGTGGAAGGAAAATGGTGTTACATTCACATAAAAATAACCAGCACAAAGCCACTCTTGTTGCTTTTCTTTAAATGGAGAGAAAAATTTGTGCTCCCAAACGGAGACCTTGGATGCCAAGTTGCAGCCTGGAGCATATTTTTATGTCTGAGTTATAAACGCCTGAAAATGGGGTTTTGTAATCGAAAAGGGAGACATGATGAATGTGCCACTGTATTTAATTAGATGTATTTAACCCCCTCCCCGACATTTGCATTGCCACAAAAGATGGTGTGCCAGCTCTTCTTTCTTATCTGCCTCCTGTGATCCTCTGGATCGTCGCAGGGTCAGCAAGAGGACATATTTTATTAGCAATAATGAGCTTGAGACAGGAAAAGAAAATATTTCTTATTGATTTATTGTGTCCTAAATTGGATTTATTTGAGCAATTTGGTTTTGGTTGTTCACGATGAAGGTTTTCTAACTCTCCTGACCTGTGAATGGTCCCTGCAGAACTGAATGAAGATGACTGTTAGCATGTGACCTATATGCCTGTTCTGTACCTATGTAGAAGATCTTACTGTGTGGTGGCTCAAGACACATTCCCTACCCTTTTTTTTTCCTCTTTGTTATTCCCTTAGTTTCTGAGGTTGCACATGTCATGAAGAATCTAACCTTATCCTCAGGGTCCAACCTAGGACCTATTGAAGGTGGATGCAGAGCTCTGTACCATCCCTCCCTTGGGAGTCCCCGCACTCTGCTCAGTCTGTGGCACACAGGAGGAAGAGAAGCAAATGTCATGCTGAGAGCAACGAGCCCAAAAGTGCTGCAGTTTTCTTCATAGGTTCTGAAGATCTCCTGTTTCTCCAGGGCATTCCACACCTCAACCCCATGACACCTGCATAAAGCAGGATAACCACCCTATGTCCACGTTGTCCATCTGAGCTCAAAAAAAGTACCCTGCAGCTATCTCTGCATTGGAAATTCTCCCGGTTTCAGAAAGCAGTGGATGGCAATTAGTGTGGCTGCTCTGGTGCTTTCTGTTTTTCATCCTCATCAATCAGTAGTGCTTTACGTTTGTTCAGTTCCTTTTCTGCTACCAGAACTTGCATGGGAAAGGAAATGAACAGCTGAGTGAATGTGCAGTTTGGACTGGAACTTGAAACAACACAACTGCCCTTCCACACACACGCTTTCTGTGACTAGTGAACAGCAATACTGACACTTCAGATATCATTGCTGGCTTCTTAGAAGCCACTGGAATGACTGGAGCACTTAACACATGTTTTTAGACTCTCTTTTAGGAAACTGTGGCCTCCACCTCTTCATCACTTACAGCTAGTTTAAAATATAAAGGTTCTCTTAGCAACCATAACTTCTAGATCTAGAGAGGAAACTGAGATTGAAAAAAAATTAAAGTCATTCTTCAACCACTTAGTTTCTTACACTCCCTCTGGGGACCATACATCACAGTCTTGTGAGATAAAACATTTAGTGCAATTATTCTTCAATAGTGTCCACATCCTCACAGAACCATTCCTAGCTCTGCCATTGTTTGTTTGTATTCCAGTTGAATTATCTAGACATCATCAGCTCTTCTACAAATAGATGTTGGAGGAGCTGTAGAAGTACTGAAACCTTACTGCACTTGTAAAAGCAATCATTCCCAAACATTTCTTGTTTGGACAAGTGACAAAGTGGTAATGAGAAGAAAATGTTCATGTCTGTAAACTCAATTCAAGCCGTTGTTCTTTAAAGAGAGCGAGCTATCTAAAAGCTGCCAAGTCGCCCTATGATTGTGCAGTCCTCAGTAGGCAAGTATCCACATACTCACAAAATCATTAACAGAGAAGCCAAGGATTTGAATATTGTGATGAGTGTTTACTCTCCTGCCCTGGAGTTGCTTACTTCAATTCAGGGCTAGGGTTATCAACAAAGAAAGCAAAGGGAAGCACGACAGAGGCTGTCTCCTGCTGATGCTTTTATGTCTTATGTAAATAATTACATGACCCCATGAACCATCAGACTGCATCCTTCACCAAACACATAGGGTTAAAGTGCTGTGTACTTCACAACAGCAGTGAATTTGGCTCCAGCAACTCACTTTTATATGTTTTAATTTCAGTTTTATACCTCAAACCTCCCACCCCTTCAGATCCATGCTAACTTTTATTAATTTTTTTCTTTCTCCAAAGCTGTTCTTGTGTCCTTGGGTATGAAGGGGAGAGGTGTGAAATAAACCCGGATGACTGCGAAGATAATGACTGCGAGAATAACTCTACATGTGTGGATGGGATCAACAACTATGTCTGTCTCTGCCCTCCTAATTACACAGGTAAGAAAGGGCCACAACTAAAGAAGAACAGGAATCCATGAGGAGTCCATTCAGGCACTGAAGGGAAGGGTCCAAATGCATGTTTACTTTGTCCATGAGTGTTTAATTAACCAAGAATCTAGTCCCATTTTAAAACAACCTGGATGTCTTACTGGAAAGGTGTTAGTTCTACCAATATTGCAATACACGTGCTCACAAACATGGCCACTTTTCTGATGCTTCATTGTAAAATACATTAAAAAATAGTGAAGTTTAAGGTGTCGGAGAAATTTGCACTTCTGTGCGCACATTCTGTAAATGTATTTCAGGAATATTCCCAGTACTGACCTGAGTCTGATACACATCTGTTCTGAATCTTGGAAAATAAAAATAGTTCCTGTTTAAATTATGGTAGGAAAATAGCTTTTGGGGCATAGCTTTCACCTGAGATCTGAGAGGTCTGCATTTATTAAATAAAATGAGCCTACAATATGCTGTTTAAATTCATTATCTCCATTTCACAAGTGGAGAAGCAAAGGCTGTGTAAGAAACTGTAGGCTCAGTTGTAGTCTTCAGAGTGCACCCGTGGCAGGTAGCCCAGCTCAGCAGATGTGCAGTCACCTGCTAAGACCACGGTGACAGAAGTTGGTAACTGAGTTAGAAATGGAATTAGTATCTACAGTGCCCATCCTGCATTTCAGATAAATTCCTTCCTAAACCTTCTGCAAGAGCAGAAACCCTCCTAACTGGAATCTAAAAATGCTTTTTCTCAAGTCATTACTGGAGCATACCATTGACTCATTCAAACTGCGTTAGCACAGCCTTCCTGGCTCAACATGGAGTGGTAAGGAAACACCTGCAACAGTTCCTGCTTCCATCCTTTGAAATGGGTTTATTACCTTCTAAGCATGGAGAAGTAATGAAGGGCTTCTTGTACACTGGAATATATTACATGTCAGGGGATTTAATGAGGATCAAGCTTGAGTGGCTGAGTAAGGCAGGAGGAAAGCTTCTAGAATTTCCAAACTCTTAAAATACTTTTGTGGCTGATACAAAGGAGGCCCATGTAAATCTTTAGCTGAGAAAAGCCTTGTGACTTGAATGTACATTTATTGGAGTTCTAAAATGATCTTTCTGCCAAAAACTGAAAAACTTCAGCTTAGCATAGTAAAGAGTTTTGCTTATAGGATGTTTAGCCCATTGTGCTTACTAGTGCACTATTTATGTGAGCTGTTCTTGGGTGGTTTCAAAAAAAGCTCCATACAAGGAGGCAGAGTCTTTACATTTACAAGAGGAAATACATTTGCCCAGCCAAGAAAAGACATATCTAGTAAGGAACTGAATCCAGTATATATGCAAATGTGCTTTTCTTTTCACAGGCATATTGCAGATTATCTTGGGTTTTGCAGACAAAAAAGTTAGGAAAGGACTAGATTGGGATTTCTTCTCAAATGGCAGTCTGGATAGGGGCCAGAAAATTCATATGATAAGATACTTCAGAATCAGTTTTGAAATATTTTTAATCAACTTCCAGCTTTTTTTTTTTTTTTAACTGAATATTGTCTGTGCTGTGCTTATGCTTATTAGCAGGAGTTGGTCAAATACTAGACCCTAGTCTTGCAATGTAGGATACACACAATTGTATATACCACAGAATATCACAATGCAGGTAATAGCTTTGACTACAGTTGAAACAAACTGAATTTCTGAAGAAGAGCAGGAAATACTTCTGGAAAATATAATATGAATCATAAGTGAAAAAGGTTGCAAAAATAGGGGTGTTGCTTAAATTAGAAATCTGAAGGGTTACAATAGTTCATGTTGCTTAAAAATAGGAAGAGTTTAGTGAACTGTGGTAAAAGAATTGCCTTAACCTGCTTTACCTCCATTTTGGAGGGGGATATTTCATCAAAACTGATCAGTCACCTGGAAGGACTCACTGCAGTGCAGCTGACTGGGCTGAAATATCCCTCAGAGGTACACCTGGCCCTCTCAGAGCAGAAAGGCAGGGAACAGCATAAAATGGCTGGAAGAATTGAAGCCATCAGCCAAACAAAAGTTACATACAAGCCAAGCAAATCTGAGCCATGGTATTGAGGGTCCTCTAGGAGTTGAATCCAAACACAAGAAATTGGACATCATCTGAAGTTGCTTGATTGAATGAACAGCAGCTAAGGGAATGCCATGGAAGCACATAGGCAAATCGTGAAGAAGCACTTTGAAAGGATTTGTGTGCCTGACCTGAAGAGAGAGGGATCTTTTGACCAAAGAGTTTGACTGAACTCTCCTGTGACATCCAGGGCATCTCTGTGTATATTCTCTTTAAATAAACCTTTTTATACTGAAGTAGTACCTGAAGCTACTATGGCAGTATCTATAAAAAAAAAAAAAAAAAAAAAAAAGTCGGTGCAGATGACTTTAATATTGTGTTGAATATGCTAAGAATAGTGAATGCTAACACTTCAGAGAGAAAGCGGGTCGCTGGAGGAGTCAGGAATACTTATTCCTGTGCTCAGAATTGTGTATTGAGCTACCTGCCTCCCTCTCAGGTGCTGACTGTGCTAAACATTGTGTTAGCAAACTGTGTGCTTCAGAGTTGCCAAGTGTATGGATTTTATCTATATTTATATGAACAAAGAATGGATGACAGAGGGTGCTTTCTAGGGAAGCAGTTTTTCTGTGAAGTAGTCTGGGGGACAATGAGCTCTCAGTGTGGTACTTCGCCTAAAAGGGCAGTGTTATCCATAGGCAGGGTGTATCTAGTAGGATAGAAAATGTAGGTAATATCTCTCTGTGTTGTGCCCAAATATTATACTTAGTTCTGTTGTTCAGAATTCAAAGAGCAAGTTGAGAGATGAGAAAGAGGATTAGAGGTGAATCACAAAAAAACATTGGGGGATTGAGAATAGGTCTTGAAGATCTCAAGAAAAATCTTATTTGGCTTAACAAAGAGCAGGCAGACAGAGCAAGCTTTTATTTTGCTTCCACAAACACTTGTTCCATAACACTTGTATGGAGAATAGAAATTTCTTTAAAAGATTCATTGGCTGGCCTTTGTGACTGAACAAATCCAGACCATACATTTCTATCAAGACTTGTTGGTTCGAGATTCAAACTGGATTTCTCAGCAGATGCTGTAGTTAAAACACAAGTTAATTCAAGAGTGGTCTATGTTACACTGGAGATCAGACTAGATGTTTCTGTACTGATAATCTGTGATGTTTTGAGTAACATTCAAGCTGTTGGTTATAGATGCCCAGCTCAGCTATTGCAGGGTCCTTCTTTTCTCGACTGTAGAGGCGGGCAGGCTCTGGTAGTACTGCGAAGTAGGTAGTCTGAATCCCTCAACACTCTTGTGGTCTTGGATGCCATAATACTGGTAAGACTGCAATGCTGTCACAGTAAACACTGCATGTATGAAATAAATGTATGTTGTAATACAAAGAATAGTCTGAATACAGGGAGGAAGAAGATCCAAGAGTGTGTGTGTGTGTGTTGTTTTGTAAGAAATATTTAGGATCCCCCTTGGTTTAGTTGACTAATGGTTAAATCATGATAGTAAATCTTATGTTCGTAAATGAAACGCAAATTAAAAATGCATGTGTTGGAAATGTTGACTATTGACAGAGTTGCAGTATCCAGGGTTTGTTTTTTTCTGTACCTTAGTATTTTCCTGCTTTATCTTCTGTCTCTCTAGTTTTACTTGTTATAGCCTTTTTAGGAAACAATATCCCAAATAATGATGCATAAATTTTGCTTTCATTGGTTGGAATAATGAAGGCCAAAGATCTTTCTTCAATTAATAACTTTTTGCAGTGTTTTGCCTTAAAATTCTTTGACAGTCTTTTCCCCCACTCAAAGTAGATGAAAAATGGCCAATTTGTTAAGTGACTGCTGAGGGAAGGAATTTCCCACACTCCAGCCCCATTTCACTTTCATTTAAAAAAAAACAACAAAAACCGCACCAAAAACAACCCACACTCACACAATAACCTCCTTCCTAGTTCCCTTCCATATAATAACTTTAAAATAATGTGCAAATACAAATTCTATGAAATAGGTAAACAAAACCTGTTTACAGGTTATAGGTTATAGGACAACAAAACTGAGAGGGAGGGCAGGCAGACAGCTGATCGCCATAAAAAAGATTCAAGCCCTTACCTGCACCACCAGATTTCCTCACCATTCTTAAAGTCAATATTTTCAATGTTGCTTGTATTTACATAACCAAACCAATACTCATGCTGTGTAGCAGAGTCCTGATGGCTTTTATTGTCAGCTGCTGTCTTATTTTTCCTCTCCCCAACTGGTTATTTTAATCCTGAAGCTAAATTATAAACATGTATTTCCTCCAGGATAATCGTGTACCCAAAGTTCAGCCAGCTCTAAAGCCTGAGCAGTCTGTGGGCTGCTTTACAACCTGGTCAGACCCCTTGATGGATTACAGCTCCTCCTTGCAGTTTCGTAGGCTTTCCTCCTCTTCAAAAAGAAACATATATAGGAACATCAAAAGAGGAAGCTATGAATTAGATCAGTCACCCTAGTTTTGTATTTTTCTAGTTTTTGTCTTTTTGGTTTAATATGGCCTATCTCCAGCTATCGATATAAACATTCCGCTGTCTCCCTAGCTTTGTGGTTTAGAATGTAGGACAAAATTCATACAATTTTTCCCTTCCATTCCTTTTTTCTATTCACTACTGTCATAGACCTTCTTGAGAGCCATCACTGTTTTGCTTAGAGTTCTAGATCCAAATATAGAATTCCATACCTCCAAAAAGAGATCCTCTCCTCAGTCTCACTATCCTCTGTGCTGTCCCATGAAGAGGTCTCCAAACATACGTAAATGAGCTGTACCAAACATGTACTTTGAATGGTTTTATGCTTTACTTGCTAGTTTATTTAGTTTTGTTTGTTTGCTGTGACTTTTCCTTCTTCCTATCTATTTGATTTTAGCCAGAAGCAGAAATGTGTAGTGCTTACACACAAAAAAAATCAGGAAATATTTCAGGTTTTGCTAAGGA